TTGAGCAAGTTTGCTGCTAAATCTAATTCTTGTAATGTTCACTTTTGGACTTTGCATTAGTTCTACATTTTACTGATAACGGAGGTAATAACTGTGCTTCATATCTCTCAACCGGGGGGGGGGGGGGGATTGGATCGAGAATGTATATTTGATAATAGAGGAGATACTTGGGACAGATATCCTAGGGTTTTGTGGGAAGTTGGAAGTGTTTACTTCATTTCTCATCTTGATGGCACCAGGAGGGTTGCGTAGGAAGCAAGGCATGTTGTCGGGGAAGGTCAGTTGTTAGGTATTAAATTTCTTTTTCATGGATAGTGTTACTAAAACACTAGGATGGATGCGTAGACGTTTTGCCAGTCTATGCTATGGAATTTGGAGGAATGTGGATCTTTACCCTGTATCAACAAATGTAGGTGCGAATAAGTAGTTGCTAAATCCAACTTATATGTTAAATAAATTTTGTGTTTCCTTTATATCGAACCCATAAATTGTTCTTGGAAGTTTTGGAATTTCGTGGAGCTCCTACTCAGAGGCACCGTCCACAATGGAACGATAATGAATTTTAATGAAAATAATTCAGGGTTTCGTGAATTCCGAGGATGGAATTCCGTTTGTTAGGGAGGAAGAATGTAATACCCCTAGTTTTAAAAAGGATAAAATTGGAATTTTAATTATTTTTAATAAATTATTTGAGTATATTTTTATTTGATAATTATTTATTTGTGGTTATTATTTGCATTTTGTGTCTTATTTGTTTTAATTGCATTTAATTTTGTCATTTAATTAATTATTTTTGTTACATTGAACTTGATAAGCTGTTTGTTTTAAAATTGACTTATTTGGTAATTGTTAAATTTAATAGGTTAAATATGTAAATCCGTTAACTAAGGTTTTAAATATGTTTTCAGTTAGGGTTTTCTTGGAGCCGTCATACAAGTATCTAACGTGTATGTGACTTAAGTTTATGGGCCAACTCTAGTTTAATTAGGATTTCTGCCTTAGCTCTAGTTTAATTAGGGTTTTCTAAGGGCCTATATATATATACGTGTATGAGTTTCACTAAGGGTTTTGGAGAATCCTATTCACGGCACAGTGAAAATAGGACGTAACAGAGAGGGAGTTGAGAGAACAGAGGCAGTCGTAAGAGCTACCAAGGACAAGAATAGAGAGGATCAAAGGAGGGTTGTGGTGGTTTAAATCACACCCATAGGAGGCTTGAAGGAAGTTAGTAGTTGCCAAAAACTTAGAAACGATGCTGGGGTTTTCATAACTGAAATCAGGCAAGTTCTTCTACTTTCTCCTTCCCTTTGGCTCGTGTTCAGTGCACCTAGATAATCTCTAGGGTTTAATCAATCAGTAACTGAAATTTACATGCTTAGTATATGTTATATTAATAATCTGTTTGTGTTGAAATCAAAACTGTTACAATTTCTACATGTCTCGTTCCAATTGTTTTTCTGTAAGCATGTAATCTCTGTTGTAACTTTAAACTTAGTAATTGATTTGAACTACTGCAAACAAAACCATGGGGACATTACTCGGATGAGATAAGATCCTTAGGTTCAATGGTGAAGAGGAACAGAGGGATTGGAATTGGACTGAAACTTCTTAGATTAGTTTCAGAGTTGTTTTTCAAGTATATTGGTTTAATGGTTTTGTTTAATCTCTGTAATTTGATTCACATTGTTGTAAACAAATCTTGGGGATGATTTTAGACTTAAATAAGACTCTTAACTTAGTTTTAAAACCAAACATAAAGGTTGCAACTGGCCGGAGTTGGAACAGAGGTCAGAACGAAGCTGAAACGGAGGGGTAGCTTACAGGGGGAGAGAGAGCCGGCTCTGGAATGCCAAGAGCCGGCTCCCACCTGTTTAGAGCCGGCTCCAAGGTGGTGGTAGAGCCGGCTCTAGGCTGATTTGGAGCCTGCTCTATTTTTCTGGAGCAGGCTCTTTCATTTTGAAGCGTATAGTGACTTTTTGGCTACTGTTTGGGCACTTGGGGTTCTTGAACAGTTTTAAAACTTTAGGGGGTTTTTTAATAATTAATTTAACATATAATCAAGGTCTTAGATTGCATAAAATACACTCTTTGTATAAATGGAATTAACAGTGCGCTAATTAACAACTTGCGCGCGGTTAATTACTAGAAGGAAGTTAAGTTGCCTAATTTCAATTTGACAATTTAAGGGGTGACAATATGATTCTAAATTAAAGTTTGGATGTATAATGGAGTCTTTTAATTAACAAAATTAGACTTGTAGCATATTGTGGCTCTGTGCTAAAAGATTAAACAGTATACTAGTATATAACTTAGCACGCTGTTATCGGATGGAGAGAATTAACTTGCTAAATTAATTTAGCAATTTTATTGGACTATAATATGATTGACAAATAATTTTAATGCATGATAGAGTCATTGATACATTAGATGTGATCTACGCATGCTTCGGATGCTAATTGTTGAACCTTTAAACCGTTTCCTGCAATTACATGGTTTAACACTTGGATTTAAATTACTGAAACTATAAATTGTCTTCTGCAATTATTTGGGATGGTTTTTGGATTGTAAATTGCTAAACTGTTAATTGTATGTTGTAATTTACATGGTTTGGATGTTCATTGTGGAATCTTATATATATTATTCTACAATTAATTAGATTATGGTTTTGAACAATAATTGTTGTAGCATTGCATAAACTATTCTGCAATTATTTGGATATTTGGTTTTGGATTGTAAATTACTTACTTATTATTTATATGTTGTAATTTACATGGATATGGAGGATTGTATGCACCGGTATGGGACGGTGACATACTAGGTATGGTTTAGCTCAAAACGCTAATTCCTACCTTATGGATTTTAATTGGTGAACAGTTTTACCTGTTCAATCAATTATATGGATTTTGTGGATTGTATGCACCGGTATGGGACGGTGACATACTGGAGACAGACTGATTCAAAATATTCAGTCCTACCTATTTTGGAATAAGGGTACGGGTTGTTGAATAAAATCCTCCTTATTTATATGAGTCGGTGCGGTTGAATACGCCGAACGACTTCCTGGATTTCTTATGGATGAATGTGAATGGATTTTATATATATTGTTATGGTACCATGACATGAGCTTGAGTCTCATAGTCGACGGTTAGGGAGCGTATATGCAGTAGGATGCGTAGCTAGCTATGTTGGTTGAGGTATACCCTGTTAGGCTTAGGTAGTCATGCCCACTCAGGTGCGTATTTCATGTTGCCTTCTATTCAGGTTGAGACCTTCAGCATAGTCTAGTGAGAGTCCTGTAGTGTGGATATATATTTATCTATTACGGACTAGATAGTTATTGTTGAGATATCTAGGGTGTATCTGCGTATCGGGTCACTGTTTGGATTGTAGTTTGAGAAGAATTTGCATGTGGGCCTGACCCACTCTTATTTTTACAGGTGTTCGTTAGTTTCAGTCTTAGAGCTGGATCATGCTGAACAGATACAGTCATTCACTCCACCGATGCTGTAGGACTTTGTTTTATGTTTTAGGCTTTGGGTTTTTTTCCAGTCAGCTGAGTACAGTGGGATATTTTAGGGGTCCACTAGATGGATTCCCGAGTTGTATAATTTGGAGAATGATTTGTATTCGTGGAGGATCAGTTGTAACAGAATAGTTTATCTGTTAATAAAATTTTATTCTGGGGTTTTTTTATTATCATTCTAGTTTCTTTTCAGCAAATTTTATTTACTTCATTTATTTTAATTATATTCTGTGTTCGATTATTACTAATTGGTTTGATATCATCGAGTAATTGGGCGTGGGCCTGGTTAATCCGCATCCGAAAATTCAAGGATATCACAGGTTAGAAGATGCAGGCTGCATCCACTTCCCACCATTATTTGTGGGCTTGTGCGGTGCAACCTCCTTTATATCTTCTCGAGGAGAAAAGTTACCAATTAAATCTATCCCACAAAATTCAAGTAGTTGGTTGCATATATTTAATTCAAATGCATGTATTGCGTGTATTAGATGGGCTTCACACTACATGTTAAGATTAAATTGATTGATGATATTTTATTATTATTTTTATTAGTATTTTATTTATTTAATTTTTTTGTTGAAGTGTCGAACAATTTCATTGATTAGGCTAAAAGTCAAAGGAAACACCAACCATGTGAGTCATGCATCTCTAATAAAAAAAAAAAACAAAAACAGTCATGGAATCCCCATTGCCACCAAGTAAGTAGCATCCAATAGGGAGCCTATACAAAACACCAAAAACACCAGTAGCTGTATCTAGGGAAGTATAAACTATTCCTCCAGCCAAAGCATCTCAGAAGATGTGGACTATTCACACAGCACTGAGAGGACGATTTTTGTAGAGTGTGCACAGACGACAATAATCATAGCGCTTGATTATGATTCTTGCAAGTAAACGTCATTTTACAATGTCCTCCTCCATTACCTCTCTTTAATTCAAAATCTCATTGCCATTTTCTTCTTTACTTTCATATTTTCAGGGCTGGAGTTGCAGAATACATGAAAACTGAAGGGTGGTTGCAATCTTGGATTCTGATATTCTTGGGATTTTTACTTTGATTCTTAGGCCTGACTTTCATCTGGTGCATGGCATCAGTCAATAATCTACTTCGTAGGATGTTGTGCCAGACGAAATGCTGCAAGAAAGCGATTTAAATTCTAAAAAGGATCATTCTATCTCCGTAAGTCTCTCCAAGAAGAAAATCAAATCTCGTAATTTAGGGTTACAATTCTGTTAGTTGATAATCATGTTTAGTATTATTATTTCAACAGCTCGCGAAAGTTTGTCACTAAAGGATCTCTATCCGAAGAATTGACATTTGTGTGAAGGTTTCTCTCTCTGATATTGTGAAAAAGAATCAAATTGTTTATGTGGCAATCCAAGTCAGTAAGTACTGGATATAACATTCTCTTGTGCTTCTGTAATACATAGTAGGAATTTAATATAAAGTTGCTTATGTTATTCCAAACCCTTCAAATAGAACAAATATAACTTGCCAATATCATTCACCAACAATTATGATATCTTTCTTCACCTCACATACTTGCAGATTAATTTTAGATCAGAACATGGATGGATGCATCTGATCGTAGTAGGAGCCAGAAGGACCATTATCAGGCAACAAAGCCAGCATTACAGGTGCACTAGCACCTTCCTCGGGAGTCAAGTTTCCTGTGTAATCATTCATATCTGTTTTGACATATCCAGGATGAACACAATTCACACGAAAATCAGGGAATTTTCTTGCTACAAGTCTAGTATAGGCATTTATGGCAGCTTTGGAAACTTTATAAGCAGACAATCTAAGGGGCCACCCATTGGCCTGCAACTTATTCTCCTTGAAATCCATTAGAAACCACCGCAAAACCTCATCTATTTTCTCTTCTGTTAAGCTGTCGACATTCTGCAACTCTTGTTTGACCTTCTCGTTGTAGATAAACTGAAACAAAACAAAACAAAACAAAAATAAATAAAAAGAGAGAGTAAATACGTAGAGCTTATTGTGATCCTTTTGTGTTCCTTCACCAGACATGCTAATCATGCATGAAACTGGTGTGCCTGCTTACACTTAGTTGTCCGTAAACAGAGGAAACATTCACTATTCTTGCTGAAGTGGAGAGTTGCAGGAGAGGAAGAAGTGCTTCAGTTACTCCTTTGGTTCCATAATAATTTGTCTTGAGACACTCTTCTGCCATCTCATAAGTTTGCTTCATGATATTCTCCAACAAGTGGGCATTCTCATCGCTCACCTGCATATTTCAGAAAGTCTCAGTCCTGCTAGCCAAATTGTGGGTAACTTACAGAAATTCTCATTTTTTATGAACTCAGGATTGCAGAAGATTAAAATATATTAAATAACTAGATTGAAAATGAATTCCTCTGATATCCGGAACAAATATACATTCTTGAATTTGTAACCAACCAAATATTGATCATATTGTTCTATAAAGACTAACACAGTGGGAGTTTACTTATGCTATGTTTGGGAGCACCAAATCGGCGCCTTGGATTTTGGATTGGAGGAAATTTAGTTCAAAGTTTGTACCAAATTTTCTCCAATCCCAAATCCAAAGCACCAATTCAGTGCTCCCAAACGTAACATTAAACATTTCCTGTATTTACTTCTTCCTTAAAAACAACCTTAGTGCCTCAAATGACACAGAAATTATTTGATAAAGACTAAGAGGTAAGCCTATTTGTAATACTTACAATCCCTCCTCCTTGTATGAAGGCTCTAAATGCTTCACCATCCAAATCAATTCCACTAATTCCTGCATTATTAACCTGTAAGGAAGTTTATTCCACAAAAACACCCGTTAGCAATTAATCTGATAACCTGTTAGTTAATTCAACTCTTTTTCATATCTCTTTATGTTATCAAATTGATACATCATGCTAAGGCATTGTGTATGTGTATTGGTATTAGTATCTTTTCTTTATATAATAGCAACAGCCAATTCTTGACTTAATTCGTAAGGAATATATTGTGTCTCACCAGGATATCAAGTTTTTGGAAATGAGTTTGTACATGTTTCGCTAATGAAGCAATACTGGCAGGATCTTTTACATCAAGTTGATGAAAAAACACATCTGAGAGGCCAGAAAGTTTCAGATTGTCAATAGCTTCAATACCCTTCTTCCCATCTCTGGCTGTTAATATTACTGCAATTCCATTAGATGCTAGCTGACGACATATCTCGAGTCCAATTCCTTTATTGGCCCCTGTAACAATAGCACACCTGGAAAAATAGTCATCCATTGAAGATTAGATACACACACACACACACATATATATGGTATGTGAATAATTTGTATTTACATATTGTAAAAAAATGAGTCATGATACCTTTTTGCTGTTGAAGTACTGTTGGTGGTCTCTTCCATTTCTGATGAAAAACTAGAGTAGTTGATCAATGTTATTGACTTATTGCAAGTTGATATGGAATGATGTTCACTTTGTGAGAAGCTGCCTTCAACCCAAATACAATTGAGGCTGCCATCCATTTGTTTTTTAATAGATGTCCTATGAGTGACTCGTGTCCGTAGGTGGTTTGGCATTTTCTTTAGAATTTTGATGCCTTATTATTTATTTATTTATTTTTAATATCATAACAGATCTTTCACTGTTTCATAAATAAATTAACCTAGCTTAATCAAAATGAGGTGAGTTTGTCAGTACTGGTGCTGGCCGGGGAGAAATTGCCTTGCAACTTCATACGTTTTCGACTTGTATTCCTTGTGCTTTCTTGATCTTAATCATACATATACTACTTTTTATCATATGGGCAACCTTAGTGATGTCTATGTGTTGCTTAATAAAAACTCATGGCCTTCATCCTCAAGTTATATATATATATATATGTTTGTATGTATTTATATCTAAGATCTTGGTGAGGAGTTTGAAGCTGGAAATGTTGAACTCTCAAACTAGCGTCTCATTATCAGTGGATTGTGATCTGTGGGTGGTTGGGTGGTGCAGGCTGCACCCACTTCCAACAATTATTTGTGGGCTTGTGTGGTGCAAAACAAAAATAATCGTGGAATCCCAAAGTCACCAAAGTAAGTAGCATCCAATAGGGAGCCAAAACAAAACAACAAGAAATAACAATAATGTAACAACAACTAACAGAAAAAGGCCAGAGTATTCAACAAACCAATACACCAAAAACACTAGTAGTTGTAGCTAGGGAAGTATAAACTATTCCTCCGGCCAAAGCATCCGAGAAGATGTGGACTATTTGCATAGCATCGAGAGGAGAGTGTGCAAAGAGGTCAATATCTATACGAGTTTAAGGCGGGTCGTGAAACTGAGTAAAGGCCAAAACCAATTCAAAACAATTCTCAGCAGCACTGATGCAATGCCATATAGCAATATAACTGACGCAATGCCATATCAGCAAGCTGAAGAAAACCATATGAGAAACCTCAAGTTCGATAAACCTAGCCTCCAAGGTAATCAGATTCATGAAAATCCTACTATCCATAATTAGCTTGTCGATCTTCATCATCATTTGGGATTGAATTTGCAGGAACTTGATTTTTGATAATATAGAGAGATCGAGTCTGCTAATGGAAATATACTCTCTCTACATTACTGTAAGTTGAAACAAGATACTATTACAAAATACCATTGACGTGTTTTATACTCTCTCTACATTACTACTGTAAGTTGAAACAAGATACTATTACAAAATACTATTGACGTGTTTTTTACTTTCTCCAAATCTAAGTTTACAAATATTTCACATCACACGAATATTAAAAAATATTCAAAATATATGGTGGCTTGGATTTCTCTCTATCACCCGTGTTAACACTACAAGCCCGGTAGGAAGCCAATGTTCATACCATAATAATACAAGCTTTCCATTTCCAATTTTATGAATAAATTCCAATCTAAATTGACCTCTCACAAATTCCATACATTCTTATTCTTTATCATGTACTTTTTCACCCAAGTAGCTCATAAAAATTTAGGAACTAGTTGGTGATATCACAAAGGTGAATTCAGAAATTGTTAATGGGACGGGCTAATATTTTTTTTAGGTAGGCTAAGTAATATATATATATTACTGGACTAAAATTACCTATAATAAAAAAAAAAAAAAAAAATTGGACTTGAGCCCCAAAGCATACACATAGGTCCGCCTTGCATATCAAAGCAAAAAGTAACATAATATTCATAAATTTGAGTAGAATGGGAATGTTTGGTTTCTAAAATGGGATATTTTTGTTTGGAAAAAATAAGATTTATTTATTGGATAAAGTAACGAGGCTACACATAATACAAAGGGGTCCAAATACCTTTATGCCAAAGTTACCTAAATGTCCATTCGCTTCATTGCAATGCCTAACATGTCCCCAAAAAATCCCACCATTATATATATATATATTTATACATGTGTGAAAAGACATAATGTCCCTCAATGCAAATGGCAAAATCGGGATAACCTTCCAAGCCTGAAAATCGTTCCGACTTCCGAAAATTTATAAAAATGATCCTGTCGCCCCTAATTGACTTAAAATAATTAAAATGCATTTATAAAACACTCGGCTCAAAAAAATGACCTAAACGGCCCTCAGGGTCCGCGTGACGTGCAAAACAAGGCACAAAAAATAAATAAAATAAAATATTAAAAAAATTCAGAAAAATCCGAGACATTATAGGGGTTTTTTGCAACTGGGTAATAGTAAATGGTATTTTTTTGCAATTCGCCTTTGAATGACAAGATTTGGATTCTAAAACAGGATTACTTTTGTTTGGAATAAATAAAATTTATTTATTGGGCCATTAAATGCATTATTCAATGGCCTAATTGGTAAAGCGTTGAGTTCTCAAAGGCGGTCTGTCCGTTTTCAACAATTTGATTTGAAACTTGTGTAAGAATGCAATTGCTTCTTAAACTATGTTTGAGAAAGTGTTCATCCAATGTTAGAATGTCATTTCTCAAACATTATGCAAATTGTTGCCACTCTCTTTATTATTATTTTTTTTTTTCAAATTTCCTCACCCTACCAATTCTTTAACATATTTTAACTATTAAATTTCATTATGAAGGTGGAAGTTCATCATTATATATGGGCAGGTATACAATACTACTTAACTATTTATTTATTTTTTTATCAGAAGAAAAACACTCGACTTGATAAAATTTTATCAGAATTGATCTTATACCCATAGGCTACCTGAATAAAGAGTAGAGTTAGGGTTCGGGCGGTTAGTGGATCCTCTCACTGTAAGAGTTCGTTCAAATTATGATGTGACGGCCCTAATTTTTAGGTCAGCGCGTCCTGTGATGAACCGAACGTAGATCCGATAACGAATCCAGAATGCGGAAGCAAGAAACAAGACAACGGTCTCACAAGGCACAACACACCTCTAAGACACTTTTATGACTTTCCACGAGGTCGTGGAACTCAATGAGAACTGACGCGGAAGCAAAAGATCGGAAAAATAATAATTAAGCCCCCAAGGGCAAAATAGTAATTTATGAAAATATGAATTCGGGTGTCACCGAGTATACCGCTGGAAAGACAACGAAAAACTAATCAAGATGGACTCAAGAATCACATGATTCGGAGTTCGGACGAAGGAGAAACGGTATGATGAAGAAAAACAAGCACTTAAGGCTAAAAGGGTAAACTGGTAATTTTTCAGGAAGATCCGGGTGCAATCGAGTATACTGTTGGAAAGACAGTGAAAAATTAGTGAAGTTCAAAAAAAAATTCACTCGATTTGGAGTCCAGACGAAGGAGAACGAGCGAAAACAAGAATCGACGTCACGATGTCGAGACGAGTACCTCACAAGCATCCTGACATGCTAAGGGAAGAAAAAAGGCTTAGCCAGAACTGAGAGCCGAAACGAGGTCCGAAATGACTTTTTCTGGAAAAACACAAAGAAGAAACCCCCCCCTCTAAAATTGAGTTTTCTACCCGACTTAGCGGAAGAAAACGAAAAAAAACTCACTGTGAAATACCTAAAATGCCCCTAGATCAGAAGAGGTCAAGAGGGCAAAAAAGAACTGCTACAGTAACTGTCCATATCTGAGAGTAGAAATAGGTGTTGCCCAAGAATTGACTCTAAAGGGGGGATGAATAGAGTCAATGCCAAACAATGGATAATTTTCGCAATATATAGAAATACAATTTCTATTCAACAATTTAAGTAATTATGCAATAATCAAGATATGAGATCAAGATATGGAATAAGCAATTAAAGCATAATTATAAGAGAGATAAGGGAAAAGAAATTGCAAATTACAACACGGCGATTTTTGCGAGGTTCGAAAACTCCTACTCCTCGGCTCAAGATCCCTCTTGAGACTTCCCAATCCAATATAGCTTCTCCTTGCGGGTGGAGAGCAAACATTTACATGAAGCAAGACCTTGCTTCTTTTCCTTGCTAGGAGAACACCCTTCTCCTAGGCTTCTTTTGGGTCACACCAACCCTTACAAGTTTATAGAAAAGATTGTAATTGAAATACAAGATTGAATCTCTCTCAAAATAGATATACAAGTGCAAGCTCACAAGAAATATCTCTCAAAGATTGATGTACAAACTTTAGCTCTCAACTAGAGTATATATGAATATAAGTGAAGCTCAAACTCTATAAATGATATGAATGAGAGAAAATGATATAAGTGAACAATGTAAGCTTTTATAATCTCTCAAGTGAATAATAGAGCAAAAACTCTATGAAGATTAAAGCAAGAGCAAAAGCCCTTTTAATCTTTGCTAGAATCTCTCAAGATAGAATAAGAGTGAATGAGAGAGATGAGAAGATGAGAGAACAAAAGCTCTCTTGAAATGTAATATTATGTCTCTCAAAATGGTGGTCTATCTGCTTCAGCAAAATGAGCCTTCCTTATATAGACAGCCGTAGCATAATATATCTGTTAGAAGTAGTTGGAAGACTTAAATGCAGAAAAGTGCCATTGTAGATTCAAATAACTTAGAAGAGCCGGCTCTACAAAAAATTGGAGGAGGCACCAATAAATGGGAGGTGGCTCCAATAACTGGGAGGCGGCTCCAATTCACAAAATGCATTCTACGACACACAATTTGGCTACTGGAGTACAAAGAGGCGGCTCCTATAATTGGGAGGCGGCTCCAATTGATAAAATGTGCTTGCTTTAGTTTTCATGGAGGCAACACCTTGTTTTGGATTTTGACAGAAAATGGTATGACTTCAAATGGACATAACTCAGTCCATGAAACTCCAAATGAGGTGAAATTTAAGTCTAAATTTATTGCCTTGAAGTCAGCTTTCTAAATCCACTGGCCTTGCTCAAAAATTCCAAACACAGAAGAAGTTATGGCTATTTAAGTGAAACCTGGTCAGAATTTTCGTAAAGCAGAATCATGTATTTTGTGAAGCTCATATCTCAGTCATTTTTAATCCAATTTAGGTGAAATTTGAGTCTAAACTTAAGGGATCGAAGTCAGCTTTCTAATTCCACTGGCC